GATAAGGACATGGGGGTTGGAGGGAGGGGCTCCTGGAGGGTCCTCATTACATGTTGGCCTGCTCACACTGCCACCGTGAGTTGTAGGCACGGGGTACCGTGTTCCAGGCGTCCATGTAGCGGTCCATGCATATGGCGAAGCACCTCTGCTCAGAATTATCCAGGGAGCCCCCAGGCTTTCCTATGCACTTCCGGAAGCACTTGTCCGTCATCCTCTGTAGCAGCTCCTGCGCGCTGGCAACGGCAATCTGTGCTTTCACCTGCTCCGTGATGACACCAGGGACCAGTTTCCCACGGGAAACTCGGAGTTCCCGAAATTCGAGCCGAAGCTGCCCTCCATTGCTCCGCAGTCACCCGGACCAAGGCCGCGCGCGTGAGGGAAGCTGGCAGCGCGACACCACAGGGAATCTGGGGTGCAACCATTTTTGCATTATCTTTAACAAAATTTTAGTTGCATGTGACATTAATGATATTGTTTGATAATTTCCACATTTTGTTGGGTCACTTTTCTTTGGAATGGGTATAAATATGGATCTCTTCAAATCAGTTGACAGCTGTTTTCCAAATTTCTTGGCTTCCAACACTCCTGGCTCTTGTTAGTCGTGAGATCACTCCTGCTTTTTAGAGGGCTCTTTTTATATGCAGCAAGATGACATTCCAGGAACTCCTGTTCATAATTACTCACAGGTGAATCCTATCAGTCTCTTCCCCCACTGTCTTACAAAACCCATGCAAAAAAGGGTTATTTGGTGCAAGGCATGAGCGTTTGCTTAGAAGAGCCACATTAAATAATTCATTGTCCCTGCATTTACTCAGAAACCCACAGGGTCAGTTCTACCGTATCCTATAGTAGAAATTGAGTTGATGGCAATGAGAAGGAGAACTTGCATATAAGCAGTTGATGGTCAGACCCTCGGCTTGTTTTTGGCTAATGATCTTGAACTTTTCCATCGTCTTTCCTCACAGATATAGTCGATGTCACAGAGTTGGCATCGACTCGATGGCCGGGAATTTGTTTGGGCTTTTTGGCTTATAATTAACTTGATTCTCATGTATTTCATGTGGCAAGGTCCCTGTAGATGGTTATCGTTTATGTTGGTGAAATGGGTATTTGTAATGAAGAAGTTGTTGGGCTTGCAAAGTTCTATCACATAATCTCCAGCTTCGTGTGTCTCACAACTACTGTGCTCATCTTTGTTCCCACCGTTTCTGTTCTAATCACTAGTAATTCTCAATCTATCTAAATAGCATGTTTGATAAATTTCAGACTGAAAAAGTTGGTGGAAAGTTTCAATTTCCTCATCGCTGATTTTAGTAGTTTTTATGTAAATTTGAGTAATAATTGTGATACCTGGTCTTTCTTGTAGATATATCACATACAGCATTATACTTCAAGGTAGATCATAAAATGTTCCCTGTGATGATGAATGCAGTATCATTCCTCTTGACTTTGTCATTCCCAGAATAACAAACCATATTATCGTTTGATTCAGAATAATCAATACCAGTCCAATTCATCTCACTAGTGCTTAGAATATTGATCTTTAGGTGTACC